AACTCTGGGAATGAAAAAACACCGGGATAAAAACTCTGGGAATGAAAAAACATCAGGATAAAAACTCTGGGAATAACAAACGCCGGGATAACAGCCCCGGGAATAAAAAACAGCAAGATAAGAAGTCTGGAATAATGAATACTGGAATAAAAACTCCGGAATAACGAGCACTGGGATAAAAACTCTGGAATAACAAACACCGGGACAAAAACTCTGGAATAACGAGCACTGGGATAAAAACTCTGGAATAACGAACACCCCGAGCTCGCGTTTCAGCTCCGGGAATTGTTTTGCATCCCAACACCGGAATTTCGGGCCTGGGAAACATCCCAATATCCACATCCCAAATCTGGGAATCAACGAGCGCCCCAGTGCCTGGATCTCACCCCCGGGAAGAAACGGAGCAAAGCCCAGTATCCATATCCCAATCCTGGGAATCCACAGGAACCCCAAAATCCATGTGACAGTCCAGGGACACCCCGGAATCTGTCACAAAGCTGGTGTCACCCATCCCATCATCCCATAATCCCATCATCCCATCCCATCCCACCCCATCATCCCATCCCATCCCATCCCATCCCATCAGCACCTCCTTGGGACTGCGGGACCCATGGAATGGTGGCCAGGGCCCTCTGTCCCCTCTCTGTCCCCTCGCTGTCCCCTCTCTGTCCCCTCGCTGTCCCCACCCCCCAGGCCCTCACAGAGCGCTGAGGTTTTGGGGCAGTTGGGGACCAAGGGACACCGGGTGACCCCAGCCACCCCTGGAGGGGACTCAAGGGTCAGAAGGGTGACGGTGTGGGTGACAGGGGGGTGACAATGGGGGTGACAGAAGGGTGACAGTGTAGGGGAAAGCGTAGGTGACGGTGGGTGACAGGGGGGTGACAATGGGGGTGACAGTGTAGGTGACAGGGGAGTGACAATGGGGGTGACAGTGTAGGTGACAGGGGGGGTAGGTCTCAAGGAGGCCACCCCCAGTGACACTTCCCAGGGTGGGGACAATGCTGGGGACATCCTTGAGCGTGGGGGACAGCGGTGACACCCCCTGGGAGAGCCTGGAAGGGTGGGGACACGTCCCTGTCCCCTCCCCTGGGCTGGGAACCCTATAGGGACACGTCCGGGACCCTATAGGGACACATCTGGGGAC